TGGCTGTGAAGAAGGCTAATGCAGTCCTACTGTGTCAGGCAAGATATTTCTGGTAGAGACAAGAGAGCATTAGTGAGACACACCCCTGGAATACTGTGTGCAGTGCTGGGCTCCCATGTTTATGAAAGATGAACTCAAACTGGAATAGGTGCAGAGAAGGGTTACTAGGATGATCTGAGGAATGGAAGACCTACCCTACGAGAGGAGACTCAAAGAGCCTGGCTTGTTTAGCCTAACCAAACGAAGACCAGGGGGAGATGTGATTGCTCTCTGTAAATACATCAGCGGGATAAATACCAGGGAGGGAAAGTTGTTAATTAAGTTAAGGGCCAATGTGGGCACAAGAACAAATGGATATAAATTGGCCAGCAACAAGTTTAGGCTTGAAATTAGATGAAGGTTTCTAACCATCAGAGGAGTGAAGTTCTGGAACAGTGGGGGCAAAAAACCCAAACTGGTTTCAAGACTGAGCTTGATAAGTTGATGGTTAGGATGGTATGATGAGACTGCCTATGATGGCCTGTAGCCCGTCTGCGACTGCTTGCAGCAAATATGTCCAATGGCTGGTGATGGGACACTAGATGGGGAGGGCTCTGAGTTACCACAGTAAATTCTTTCCCAGGTGCCTGGCTTGTGGGTCTTTCTCACATGCTCAGGGTCTAACTGATCACCGTATTTGGGGTCAGGAAGGAATATTCCCCTAGGTCAGATTGGCAGAGACCCTGGGGGTTTTTGCCTTCCTCTGCAGCATGGGTCATGGGTCACTTGCAGGTTTAAACTAATGTAAATGGTGGATTCTCTGTAACTTGAAGTCTTTAAATCATGATTTGAGGATGTCAGTGACTCAGATGGAGGGTAGGGATCTATTACAGGAGTGGGTGAGGTTCTGTGGCCTGTGAAGTGCAGGTCAGACTAGATGATCATGATGGTCCCTTCTGACCTTAAAGTCTATGAGTCTTGATACGCCCTCCCAGTTGGATAGCGAACCATTGATGGCTACTCTTTGAGTACGGTCTTTCAACCAGTTGTGCACCAGCCTTATAGTAATTTCCTCTGGCCCGCATGTCCTGGGGGACTGTGTCAAAAGCCTTACTAAGGCTTACGTGTCCCAGGTGGTTTGGTTTCTTGGGGAAGCGATGAGAATGGTGCCATGAAAAAGGAGCCATCTTGCATGACTGAATCAGTGAATGAATGAATCAATTGTGCCCCATTGCCCTGTTGAAAGGGATTTCCAGTGATTGTGTCTGAATCCTCTCTCCAGTGATCATGGACCTTCCAAAGTGGCAGTTATGGCAGTTGACCAGACCCCTCCCCACCAATGACAATGGGACCTTCCAAAGTGGCAGTTATGACTCTTTGACATTTCGTCTCCCGTCTCCTGTCCCCCCCCCCCCAGTGAAATGGTTCGTTCCATCAGTTGCGAGCTTTGGAGCTTCTCGCTCCCTTGGAAGGGACCATTTCACAAGCAGGAGGGTGCAGGGGTTGAGATATCTTGGTGAATGCATTGTGTTACGAACTACACCTGAGAGGACACGCACACAACTGCTGCGAATTACACCTGGTAGGACACGCACACAAATGCTACGAATTACTTTTTAGCAAAGCATGTTGCCTTCGTGCATCGGAAACTTTAGCCAATAAACAAACCCTTGTCTTATCTACCACCTATCCCTGCTTGGTGCATTCCTCGTGCTATACCAGTACGTTAATTACACAGCATGGTCCTAAAGCCATGCATCAGTAACCTTTATTATCAGGATGGGAGGCCTCACATCAAGGCCAAGAGACGGGGAGTTAGAGACTGACAAAAACCAGATACTGGGAGTCAAGGCAGGCTGGAGACAAGGAGGATTTTCACAGGGATTCAGTATCTAAGGATCACTCCTCCTGGTGTATGATGTGCTGGCATTTAAACAATGCTGGGCCCCAAACCAAAAGGGAGTCACATGTGCTAACTTTTCCTTAACAGTCCTCCCTTTCTTTTTGTACGTCAGTAAGCTATATTGGGGCTGAGTAACCGCGCTGCAGGGTTAGCAACTGCCAACAGCACCTACTGCAGCATTGTAGGCATACAAAAAATAACGCAAAAACAATAACAGTCAAAAAAAGTAAATACAAAATACGCCGTCCCCAAGTCCCCACATCCGGTAGCCGTGAGGTGAGCCAGTCCCAGACCTCCTGGAATCCAGCGCTGGTAGTGTCGAGGCTGATGTGGTGGAATAGGGCTGCCTGTTGCTTGAGGACGTGGATGTCAGTTTCCACCCTATGGTGCTGATTTACAAATACACAACAGCTTGAGTTGACCAGAGCACAAACCCTGCCCTGATTTGCAAGGAGATAATCCAGGGCTAGGCGGTTTTGCAATGTAGTTTGGGATAGCTGGGTGACTTCAATTTGAAGAGCATCTGCAGTAGCATTTGCCATTAGTTCCAAAGCAGCTGAAATGTTAACTATAGCTTTTTCCAGCTCGCTTACTCCCAACCATGGCAGAAACCAACGCACAAAGGAGTGAAAGCCTTTGGGCTGTTGAGAAAGGGGGTTTAAAGGAATACTTTGTCGGTCCCGCCATACTAGATTGTGGATCTCTGTCCGGGTCAGGTTCTGGTGAACTGTCACGGCGGGTACTATAGCCCCTAAGGTACATGGACCACACCATCCTGCTGGGAGAACCTTATAGGCTGTGTGATTACATACCCAATACTAGCCAGACCCCTCGGGGACCAGCCACGGGGTCCTGGAGTAGGTAGAGGGGCCTCCCGCACCAGAGCTGATTTGGGTGGTGTCCTTGCACCCCACAAAATTCCCTACAAAAACTGTAATTTCTATGCCCTTACGTCGTGACACACATAAAGCATAATTACCCTGGGCCACCATATCAATAGACCATATTTGGATTGTAACATTCCAGTTAAATGTAGTGTTTGCCCATAGCTTAGCTTGGAGTGTTCAATTAAGGGGGATAGGTACCCCTGCCAACGGGACCCCCTGACCTAAATATGTGGGGGTATGAATACAAATCCAACACTGCTTTTGATTTACACCCTGTTTGATAGCGCGGGTTAAATTCAAGAAGCTATTGCCCTCCCATCCTTGTACTGGACTTGGGAATAGGGAGAGGAACCCCCCAGGCAAACCATACCAATGTCGGCATCCTCCTTTATACCATACAAAAAACACTACCCCCAATGTAAGTCCAATAAACAGGAACACAAAAAGTCCTGGTGGGCTGTGAAGGTCCCAGTAGCTGGAAAGCTTAGTCCATGGGTTGGTCGTGGTGTTCATTCGTGAAGTGGCTCATCCAATGGCTTGTCAGGGTCAGGTGGGGGTCCCAGCGCCAACTTAACGTAGCTATGATGGAGCCAGGAACCTTTACCTGCAAAGGAGTGGTGGCAGATGGTGGGAGTAATGTTCGTGGCAGTAAGGCGTTTTTGGTATTTATACTTGCCTACGAGCACAGGTTCCAGCCTCTGGAATAAACCCACCCCACCACTTTACTTCACATTCCCAAGAATACATCCCGCAACTTCCTCCCTGCCAATGTACAATGCTCCGTCTTTGCCATCAAGGCCAATTCTCAGTGTCTTTTGCAGTCAGGAATCCTTGGATTTTGGTGGTTTTAGCAGAGCAGGCGTTTCTTCTTTTTTCTTGGAACAGTCATGCTTTTGCATTATACAGGGGAGAGGTTACTAGCACGTCACCCTGCCGTGCTTTGGTTTCTTTAGCAAATACTGAATGCAGGTTAGCTCTGTCAGTGGACAAGGGGGAGGTGACTAGCACTTCACCTTGTTTTTTTTCCTGCTGTCCAAAAGGAGGAAAGAAAAAAAACCCAGGAGGGACAGGCTGATCAGTAGTCGAAGTGAAGTCATCTCGCGGTGGAGGGGTCTTTTTGCAGTAAGAAGCATGGGTCCAGGCAGTCAGTCCTTGGCACTTCACAGTGGTGTTGGTAGTTAGCAGGACTTAATAAGGGCCTTTCCAGCATGGGGCCAGAGTAGTCTTTTGTTGATGGACCTTTTTGTAGACCCAGTTACCTGGTTTTAACAAATGGCAGGTTTGCTCAGGATCCTTGGAGCAGGACTTCTTTCACCTGTAAATACAGAGACCTAACACATTTCATTAATCTCTGGCAGTGTGGTGCAGATCTCACAGCTGCTTGGTCACATTCATGCCCCCCTCTTTCTTGTCTGTTAGCCAAATCCTAGCTGTGAGTAGTGTCCTTGGGCAGGCCAGTGTCTTCTCTTTGGACCGAGCCTGCCAGCTACAGCGTTGAATTAGCTCGTCCTCCGTTTTATTTCTTTCCCCATTCTTGGCTTTTATTAACCTGCAAAGGAAACTTTCACTTTTTACTAATACACCTTTGTTTAAAAAGGAACACGTGTACATTGCCCATTATACAGCACTTTAGTCTTATTGTTTAATGTATGCCACAAACACCCTTCTAGGAAAATGAGTTTATTACAGAGCTTTGGAGCAACAAGCCAGGACAAGCACACCCACTTTTGAGGAGTCCACTTGGTACAACCTCTGGTGTCCAATAGCTTTCCTCCCTCCCCAGCCCTCTGGCTAGAAATGTGAGGTAGCCAGAAGGATTTCATGTATAATATGGGGAGTGGTTAACCTTTCATGTCCTTGCTTCCAAAGACTGTTGGTGTGCAAATTTTAACAACAATTTTTTCAATTAAAAGATCTGGCCAATGAATTTTTTTTTTTTTACTTAAGCAAATGTATTAAACTTTAATATATCACATTTTTTTGATATTATCCAAACACTTTGTATTCCAAGTTGAATAAAACAAGTATCTGCATTTTGATTTAACCCTTCTATTTAGTTTTAAACTAAACTGTCCTATGAAAAATTAAACACAGCAATTCTGGCCACATGACAAACAGCACAAGACAGGACATAGAACACAGAACAGAATTCCTATTGTGCCAGTAAATTCATGAGATGTTGAATTGCTTTTCAGCTGGCATCAATTTTCTCTGATTTTCTGAAAGACAAAAAAAAAAAAACACAGATCTACCCCTTTTGGGCAGTCAGTCATTGCTTAAAATATTTCCTTTTTATACAAATACCTTTGTTAATTGCAGGCAAAACAGAGGAATTACCCATATTTTCTTGTATTTGTTTTATAGGCAGCCCAGGTTTCAGTGGCCTCTACCTTATCAGTTAGGTAATTTACATTAAAACAAATGCTTTCCGGCTTGCTTTTGGATCCACAGGTTAAAGATTCTTACTTTAAAAAGGGCACAATAAACTTTACCAGACTTTTGATTGCCTTTTACTTTTAACTCCTGCAGTCAAACACACAGCGACCTGAAAAGGAAGACACCACCTATTGTAGCCCCTTGGAGCCTAATAAGATATTAATTAAGTAGCACTGTATAATTGCCTTTCTTTGGAAAAGGGCCCATTTTTTTCCAAAATGGCTGCAAAGAAACCAAGAATTCTTTTTCTTTCCAGTATTTCACAAAGTTCAACTGCTTAATTCTTTCCAGCAACTAAAGAGTTAACTTCTTACTTTCCTTTCTTAAATCACTTGCTTATTTCCCAAAACGACACCCAATTAACTTAGATTTTACCATTCCAAGTATTATTCCGGGATTTACGTTTTCCATTCCTGTAATTATTTACTCCTCTTTTTTCACTATGACCTCCAAGTTTCCAACCTGTTTTCCAATCTCTCTATCTGTTGCCTGCCCGCTTGGGCCCGATCCTGTTTTTTTTCTCTGAACTGTCCCTTCCATGAGCACCAGCTTTGTTTCACTACCAAATTAACAAGGAGGGTGGGCTTCTTAACTAGCCCCCAGCCCTCTTGGTCTCTTTTCTTAAATATTTTCACTTACAAGGGCTACCCGAGTCCTCCCCGCATGAGGCTTGTCACCTGGACAGAAAGCACGGCTAATTGGCAAGCAAGGAGGTGACGGGCATAAGTCAGAAAGCCGGGTAAGCCGGAGGAGGGGCAGAAGTAGGCATAGCACAGAGCGGGGTTGGAGACCCCTGAGATGAATAAGAAAAGGAGTTGGAAAGAGGACGTCCTTTCGCATGCGCATAAGCCCAGTTGTCCCATACATATCAATAATCCATCTGGGCTGGAGCTTTGTTTTCCAGCCTTTTCCTAAGCACTCTTAATTTTTCCCCAGCAAAGGAACCATCCGGTGGCCAGTCAAAAGGTGTTTGAGTTGTTAGTGCTGGCCACTCAACCTTGCACAAGATTACAGCTTTTTTTTTACCTAACCCAGGGGTGCCAGAAATATTCCCCCAATTCTCGAGAATTTCAGCCAAAGGGGTCCCCTTACTTACACTCTGCCCAGAACCCACAGTGGGCTACCAAAAGGACACCAAATGTGCCACCTTATCGCCTAAGCGACGGCTCACAGCCCCCCTCCTCGGAGTTCTCAAAGGTGAACTCACCCTGTGCCGGCTGGAGCTGTCCGAGAGGAGGAATGTAGTCTCGCTTGTTGGGGTGAGCCTAGAGTCCCTTCGTGGTCGCCAAAACTGTTACGAATTACACCTGGGAGGACACGCACACCAATGCTGCGAATTACACCTGGGAGGACACGCACACCAATGCTGCGAATTACACCTGGGAGGACACCCACACCAATGCTGCGAATTACACCTGGGAGGACACCCACACCAATGCTGCGAATTACACCTGGGAGGACACACACACCAATGCCGAATTACACCTGGGAGGACACGCACACCAATGCTGCGAATTACACCTGGGAGGACACGCACACCAATGCTGCGAATTACACCTGGGAGGACACGCACACCAATGCTGCGAATTACACCTGGGAGGACACGCACACCAATGCTGTGAATTACACCTGGGAGGACACGCACACCAATGCTGCGAATTACACCTGGGAGGACACGCACACCAATGCTGCAAATTACACCTGGGAGGACACGCACACCAATGCTGCGAATTACACCTGGGAGGTCACGCACAGTTCGAATCTAGGCTGAGGCACATAAACAAAGTCCACAACTGCAGAGTTCCCAAAAGACACTAAGTTTATTACGCTCGAGCGTGGTGCCCCCCTGCTAGCCAGGAGGGGACCCTGAATACAGATTATACAAAGGTTATATACTTTTTAGCAAAGCATGTTGCCCTCGTGCATCGGAAACCTTAGCCAATAAACAAACCCTTGTCTTATCTACCACCTATCCCTGCTTGGTGCATTCCTCGTGCTATACCAGTATGTTAATTACACAGCATGGTCCTAAAGCCATGCATCAGTAACCTTTATTATCAGGATGGGAGGCCTCACATCAAGGCCAAGAGACAGGGAGTTAGAGACTGACAAAAACCAGATACTGGGAGTCAAGGCAGGCTGGAGACAAGGAGGAGGATTTTCACAGGGATTCAGTATCTAAGGATCACTCCTCCTGGGGTATGATGTGCTGGCATTTAAACAATGCTGGGCCCCAAACCAAAATGGAGTCACATGTGCTAACTTTTCCTTAACAATTGGATGTACTTTTCCCTGTCAGGAAATGTATAAATAATAACCGCCCCCGCCACACACACCCACACACTTGTCGTGTGAATGACTCCTTTTCAGTCTGGGGGGTTACAATACCTGAGTCCGGGATAATTCTCTATCTCCTCTGCAGGGGAAAAATGGTCTGTCCCAAGCCCAGAGTGGCAGTTGGTTGCTCTTCCACCCCCATAGGGAGGGAGGGGGGGCAGTAAACACAGCCCTATATGGTGGGGGAGGGGGAGTAAACACAGCCCTATATGGTGGGGGAGGGGGAGTAAACACAGCCCTATATGGCGGGGGAGGGGCGCACTTGCAGCCCTAGATTGCAGGCGAACAAGGGGAAATGGCTCCCACAAGATGAGTCTACATGTGGCCGTGAAGCAAGGTAGCTTGTAGGAAAGGTGCCCCCTACTGTTAAGATGGGTTCATAAATGCCAAGGCCAGAAAGGCCCATTGGGATCATCCTGTCTAGCCCCCCTGCCCCCTGTGCGCCATATGGCCCAGGCCCTAGGTCAGTCCTGGGTTCATTCCTGTTTGAACCAGAGCAGATCTTTTAGACAAACACATTTGGTCCAGAAGATTGAGAGATCCGAGCCGTCGGCCGGCACCATGTCTTGCCCTCGCCTGTCTGTCGCACTCGGAGCTGGGAGAGTTTTGAGATTATCGATTGATTCCAAACTGGGATCATCTCCTGGGACCCCCCTGTCACACAGCCCAGAGAACGGCCCCAAGACAATTCGTAGAGCAGATCTCCTAGGGAAACACCCCAGCTTGATTGAAAAATTGTCAGGGATGGAAAATCCGCCATGACCCTTGGTCGTTTGTCCCGACGATTAATTCCCCTCATCATTAAAAATGTACACCTTACTTCCAGTCTGAATTTGTCTAGCTTCAACGTCAGCCACTAGATCGGGTTAGATCTTCCTCTGCTAGACTAAAGAGCCTGTTATTAAATATTTATCCCTCATGTTGGTACTTATAGACTGGGCTCGAGTCACCCTTTCACCTTCTCTTTGTTCGGCAAAACAGATTGAGCTCCTGGCGTCTCTCACGACACGGCAGGGTTTCTAAATCTGGAGACTTGTGTTTTGCGGGAGTATAGTTGCATATATAAGACAAAGCCCCTGATATCGGTTCGATCCTGGTGTTATCGGGACGTCAACTCACCCTAACCAGGACTGCGGTTGCACCAGGGCCAAATACAGGGGAACGAGAACCAATCTCCAATCTAGTCAAGAGTCCCCTGTTTATCTATTTAACATAGGAATACACGGCACAGGCACACCCATCCCCACCCGGGTCTCCCTGTGCGCCCATGTCCAACTCCTCCCCGGTGTGCTCATTACTGATAATGAATCCACACCGCTCTGGCCATCGTTAAGGCCCTGGTGCCCTCGGGAATGGGAGCCGGGGGTGGAGGCGGAGCGCCTGATGAGCTGTGGTGGAGTTTGTGGTAATTAACAGGACGTTTGTTTCCAAACTGGCATTGTCCAGGTGACAGAGTTCAGAGCTTCGTCCCCTGGTGCAAGAGCAGATCTCTGTGAGATGCTTGGAGTCAGTAAGACCCCCTGACTATGGTGCACAGAGGTTGGGCTGCAACCCCAGATTGCTGTGTCCAATTCTAGAGGGATTCCACCCCCCGGCAATGGCTGCAGGAGACTATCTGATTCCAAAGGGTGAGGAGAAGGTGTGGACGGGCGCTGTCCTGTCCAAAGCCTGCTCCTAGGGGCTGAGCGTGTAAGGGGCCGTGAAATGCAGAGACAGGATGGGGCCATTGGCCATTAGGGTTTCATGTTGTCAATGACGGCCTGAGAATAACCCTGGTGGCCCATGGGGACTGGGGGCGGTGGTTGGATTCAGGCAAACGGCCCCGTTGGTTTCCAGCGGGCATTTGTCCGAGTGAGGACGGGATACGGTCTACAGAAGAAGTGCTCACAGCTACAGTAGGGAGCCAGAAGGGCTGTCGGCCAGATTTTGATCGTTTTTCTCAGGCCAGGGCTATGCTAAGAAGTTGGTCGACCCAACAACGTCACTCCAGGATGTGAAAAATCCGCACCCAGGAGAGATGTAGCTAAACCCAGCTAACCCCCAGTGTACACAGCACTGAGTCGATGGAAGAATTACTCCGTAAGACTTAGCTACCGCCTCCTTGGGAGGTGCATTACCTACGCCCACCCTTCGGAGTCGGTTACGTCTACACTGAGGGACTACACCAATGCCGGTGCCGACTCTAAGCAGCCATCTTGCCCCATCTCCCCTTCCCTCGGTCACCCCTCCTCCAGCCCCTTCCTCAGCCCCCCCCAGAGGCGGCGCCCGCCCAGGAGCCGCCTCGCCAGGGCCCCCTTGACGTCAGCGTTGTGCAGGCTGTAGATGGCGGGGTTGAGGGTGGGGATGACCACGGTGTAGAAGGCAGCAGCCATCTTGTCAGCCTGTGCGGCGTAGCTGCCTTCGGGCTGCAGGTACATGAAGATGAGGGTCCCGTAGAGCACGGCCACAGCTGCCAGGTGGGAGCCGCAGGTGGGGGCAGCCCGGCGCAAGCCCGCCCGCCCCACGGCCCCGAGGATGAGCCCGTAGGAGGCCCGGATGGCCAGCAGGGTGACGCTCTGGATGGCGCCGCAGATGGCCAGCAGCAGGGCCTGGTTGAGGCTGGTGTCGGCACAGGCCAGCTCCAGCACGGGTGGGATGTCGCAGAAGAAGCGGTCGAGGGCGCGGCTGCGGCAGAAGGGAAGGCGGAAGGCCAGGCCGGAGTGCACGGCCGCACTGGCCGCCCCGGCCGCCCCGGCCGCATAGGAGCCCAGCACCAGCCCGCGGCAGAGGCGGGGTGGCACGGCGGCCTGGTAGTGCAGCGGGCGGCAGACGGCGGCATAGCGGTCGTAGGCCATGGCGGCCAGCAGGCAGCACTCCGCGTCCCCCGCGGTGGCGAAGAGAAACATCTGGAGGGCGCAGGCCGGGCCAGGGAGGGCGGCCCAGCCGGCCAGCCGGCCCCACAGCATGACGGGGCCCACGGCGCAACAGGAGCAGAGGTCCAGCAGCGCCAAGTGGCTGAGAAAGTAGTACATGGGGGTGTGGAGGGAGCGCTCGGCCCGGATCAGAACCGCCAGGCCCAGGTTCCCTGCCAGGCCCAGCAGGACGACGGGCAATGCCAGCGAGAAGAGCAGCAGACTTAGGTCTCGGTGGGAGGGGAAGCCCACAAGGAGGAAGTCAGTCACCACTGTCCGGTTTGGCCCGGCCATGGGGGGGGCACAGATCTGTGGGCAGGGAGCGTGGGTGAGAGCCTGCCCCTCTGCCAGTGCCCTCAGCCCAGGGTGGGGATGGCACTGCTCCTAGCGTCAAGGGTCTGGTGTTCGGGGAGGGCTGGCCTGGCACGGAGATGCAGCCACCTCTGGGGCGGAGCAGTTGGGGAACAGCCACACATAACGCCACACAACAGTTTAGGCTACGAAGCAAAGAATAAGCCAACATCCAAACACTCTTTAGGGACGTTGGCAGGCGAAGGGCGTTGGTGAGGAAAGCGGGGTTCACGGCGTTCCCTTTGGAAAGAGGGGGCGGTGATTTAAACCTGCAGGCGCTACTGAGCTGCAGGGAGCTGCAAAGATGCCTGGGGCAGGGAGATGAGATAGAGGGACCTGGAGGCAGCGTGGGAATGTGGCGTGGGCAGACAGCAGGACGGGCACTCGGGACTCCTGGGTTCTATTCCCAGCTCCGCTACTGCCTGGCTGGGTTACGCTGGGCAAGTTACTTCACAACTCTAGGGCTCTGCTTCCCCTGGTGCATTTAGACTGGGAGCTCTCCAGGGCAGAGCCGGTCTCTCAGTGTGGGTCTGGGCAGCACCCGGCACGATGGGGCCCCGATCTTGGGCAGGGTCTGGGCAGCACCTGGCATGACGGGGCCCTGATCTGTGCCCTGCTTAGTGCAACCCGCCCCCACCCCCGCCCCCAGTCATCTGCAGCCTCTTCGCGGTACCATAATACACATCCCCGTAAAGCGTGGAGGGACACAGTTCCCAGCCTGGCTCTTTGACGGGAGAGGAACACCTGGTCGGGGTTGGTAGCTGAGAGCCCCAAGGCCCTGGTGTGATTAGGGGTGCACAGTCAGAACAGAGGAGAGAGGTGGACGGTGCAGACAGCTTTGGGGAGACCCCCCCCCCAGCCCTGAACACTGATTCCTCCATCCCAGACTGAACTGGACACACAGGGCTGGGGCGGGGGGTTCTGAGAGGAGCCCCAGGCCTGACAGAGGAGAGAAGGACTCACACGAGGGGGCTGAGGCTGAGAGGTACCGAGGGGGGTGGAGTAATCGCTAAGGGGGTTCCCCCAAGCAGGGCAGGGATTAGACAGGAGGACAGTTAAAGAGAAAGAAGGAAAATTGCCTCCTGATGAGAGATAGAGGGACTGGGAGCCCTTTATGGGCAAAGCGTAGAGGGATTCACCACTGAGAACCCAGGAGTCCTGGGTCCCAGCCCCCTCTGCTCTAACCCACCAGACCCCGCTCCCCTCCTGGAGCCAGGGATGGGACCCAGGCGTCCTGGCTCCCAGTGACTGTGGATGGACAGCTCCCTGAGCAGAGATGCACTCAGCCTGCGAGGAGGTGATGGGGGTCAGTGCGGAGAGGCCCCTGGTCCCTTCCCTGCCTCAGGGCATCTGCCCTACCTGGTCAGTGGCAGGGTCCGCATCTTTCTCGGTGCTGGTGTCCGCTGCTTTCCACCCGGGTAGTGCCCGGGCTTTTATGGCCCCCTTCCCTGGCATCCACGAGTCCTCCCCTGGCACCGACTCCCAGGCCTCCTGCCTGAGCCAATCCCCACCGTGCCAGCCAGGCCCCGCAGACAGAAGGTCTGGGCAAGCGCGTCACCCCCAGCTCCTGTCTGCGGGGATTCAGACGCAGGCGGCTAATTGCATGGGAAATTGGCGCCGAGGGCAGGGGGGCATGCTGGGCCACAGCTTCCCGCCCCCACCCCCACCCCCAAGTGCTCCCAGTAACCCACGTTCTAGCAGGGACAGCCTCGGATCTTCTGCCCTGTTGCCAGTCCCTCCGTGGCACCAAAGGCGTCGGCCCTTTGCACCCAGCATGGTGGGAGGGAGATGCCATCCCATGGGCTTCCGAGGCTGGGCATCTGTGTTTTTTGAGACCCCACTCCCCTCCCAGACCCGGGGAGAGAACCCAAGAGTCCTGGCTCCCAGGCCCCCCCTGCTCTAATCACTAGCCTCGACTCCCCTCCCGGAGCTGGGCTTTCACCTAGGGTGTGAATTTTCTAGTCTCAGAAAGGGCCCCATTGCCTTGTGCATGTGAGGGGGGTAGTATCCAGTGGTTAGATCAGGAGGGGATGGGGGAATGAGGAGGCAGAGGGGCGACACGGCGGTTTACGTCCCTGGACTCCCTGAAGGGAATGTCCTGACACTGAAAGCGGTAGGAACAGAAGTGGGGGGCTCCCGTTGCCCCCACAGAAGCCCATTCTCCTACCCAGCAATTTGTTCTGCTTCTCAGCCCCAAACCAAACCTGCCCCCCCAATTCTGCCCCCTCCAGCATCGCATCAATTGTGCCCCCAAGAATGCGGCTGTTCCAAACCCCCACTGCAATCCAGGCCCCTCCAAACCCCCCATGAATTTTGCCCCCTGCAGCCCCCACCAGCTGGGGGTGAAAGAGGAGCGGCTGATGGGTTGCGGTGGGAGTTTGTGGTAATTAACAGGACCTTTGTCCCACAATCTCTCCAAGCTGGGCATTTTCCAAGGGACGGAGTTCAGAGATTCTCCCCCGGGTGCTAGATGCTTGAAGTCGTTAAGCACCCCGCAATTATGGCGCCCCAGATCCCTGTGTCCAAAAGACGTGCGGAGGAGACCAGCTGATTTCAAAAGGTTAGGAGAAGGTGCGGACGGGCTGCGTCCCATCCAGAGCCCCCTTACGAGGGGCTGAGCATTTAAGGGGCTGTGAAGTGCAGAGACTGGATGGGGCCACTGGCCATTCGGGTCTCACATTGTCAGCGACGGACTGAGGACACCCCTCGTGTCACACGGGGTCAAGGATCGGCTGTTGGATTTTGGACTGGATGGGAGCCGGCGCCCCCTATGGGAGAGAGGCCTGTGTCTCCTTCCCTGCCCACCGGAGCTGGCCAGTGCACTACCCTGATGCCAAATTAGAGCCGGTGCCCCCGCGAGGGAAAAGACCCGTTTAGCCCATTCCCTGTCCCCAGAACTAGCCACTCCCTCCTGTGACAGTACTGCATATAAAACCCGTCGGCGTTTATTCGCAAAGCGTCTGAGCCCGCTTACATTTTCACCCCGCTGCAAGAGGATGCGACTGAAGCATTTTTAATTTTATTTATTTATTCATTTCACAGTTGCAAGAAATGTCGGGAGAGGTCGGCGAATCATTGCTTCATGACAGCCGACGTTGTGCTTCAGAAAGATAACGCTTGCTACCCATGTCAACACAGGGGGTAGCTGGGTTAGTCTGTTTCCACACAAACAACAAGGAGTCTGGTGGCGCCGGATGCATCTAAAGAAGTGGGTTTTTTACCCATGAAAACTTATGCCCAAAGAAATCTGTTAGTCTTTAAGGTGCTGCCAGACTCCTTGTTGTTTTTGTGTCAACACAAATTGTCAGCATCACAAGGTCCAGCAAAATTGACATGGTAAATATCTTTGGATCCCATGCTAAGATGTTCTCAAGCAGCAGATTTCCCACTTTGCCCTGCTGCCGGTTTCGTTGATTGTCAGCAGAAATATTTCGTCGCCGGGTTGCGTGCATTGGGGGAAGTCGATGCTTACGCATAAAAAAATGAATCCTTCCAAGGCTACAGACAGAACACTATGTGCGTGTGTGCATGAAGCAAGATAGTGAATATAAAAAGCACCACCTCATTATATATATATTTAGGGCTGTCAAGAGATTAAAAACATTAATTGTCATTAATTGCACGATTAATCGCACGTTAAACAATAATAGAATACCGTTTCTGTTTAAAAATTCTCCATTTTCAAATGTGTTGATTTCATTTACAACACAGAGTACAAAAAGTGTACCGTGCTCCCTTTATATTTATTTTTGATTACAAATATTTGCACTGTAAAAAAGAAACAGGAGTAGTGGTATTTTTCAATTCATTTAATACAAAGGCAACCCACCACAAGTGGACTTTCAGTAGAGTTACTTTATTCCTTAAATATTACCTGGACACACATCTCACAGTCGTGATAAGTCACCAGCTTTCTGGAGATACCTCACAGGTTCCTTTTTATGGCTAAAGATCCCATAAGACAGGTGTTTGGTGGAGTGAGTTTGTCAGGACTGGGTTGCAAAGACCCGGGGACCCTTCACCAAGGCACCAAGGCACTTCTCTCACTGCTTCTTACCCAGTGGCCAAGCCACCAATGGGGCTGTATGAGATTGTACCAGATCCTGCAGTTCTAGCCAAAGGTCCTAGGTATGATTCCTCTCAGGGGCTGTGGCTTTTTCATGGATTCTCAGAGTGTTAGGAATCATTAGGAAAGGGACAGATAATAAGACAGAAAATATCATAGTGCCCCTATATAAATCCACGGTCTGCCCACATATTGAATACTGTGTGCAGATCTGGTTGCCCCATCTCAAAAAAGATAGATTGCCCTGGAAAAGAGTCAGAAAAGGGCAACAAAAATGGTTAGGGGCATGGAACAGCTTCCACTTGAGGACAGATGAAGAAGACTGGGACTTTTAAGCTTGGAAAAGAGACAGCTAAGGGGGGATATGAGAGAGGTCTATAAAATCATGACGGGTGTGGAGAAAGTAAATAAGGAAGTGTTATTTACTCCGCATAACACAAGAACTAGGGGTCACTGTAGTGATGCGATGACTCACCGGCACGCCAAGCTTTTCCCTAGCTGCAGCCCTCCCCAGGGCTGCTTTAACCACTTCAGGGCCAGAGCGGGGTAACCACCCCGCTACAGTCACCCAATGAAATCAATAGGCAGCAGGTTTAAAATAAACAAAAGGAAGTATTTTTTTTCACACAACACACAGTCAGCCTGTGGAACTCCTTGCCAGAGGATGTTGTGAAGGCCAAGACTATAACAGGGTTGAAAGAAGAACTAGATAAGTTCATGGAGGATAGGTCCATCAATGGCTTTTAGCCAGGATGGGCAGGGATCATGTCCCTAGCCTCTGTTTGTCAAAAGCTGGAAACGGGCAACAGGAGATGGACACTTAATGATTCTTGTTCTGTTTATTCTCTCTGGGGAACCTGGCATTGGTCACTGTTAGCAGACAGGACACTGGGCTAGATGGACCATTGGTCTGACCCAGTATGGCCGTTCTTATGTTCACAACTTTGACTCTTTGGGCCCATTTATACTATCTAAATTAATACAACAGATCTTGTGGTTGATCCAGTCTGGGCATGCCCTTGAGAACATGCCTTAATTTACCCCCTTTTCTATGGAAAGACTTAGGTTGCATGTAAGTGTGTGTGTGTAGGTGGGTGTGACCCTGCATATGTGTTAGTTCCACCAGCCTTATGACTGAGGAGAAAAGAACCCAGGTATCCTGGTGGACCTAAGGGGAAAAGGTTCCCTGGACACATCTTGGGTGGAAAGTCCATACCCAGTGCACTGATGGAGCCGCAGGCTGGACTCACGTGCCCCGAGCCAGTATTTTCCTCCTTGCCCTCCTCAAGGCTGCAGCCACGTCCTTGTTCCTCAGGCTGTAGATGAGGGGGTTCAGGGCAGGTGCCACCGCTGTGTAGACGATGGCCACCTGCTGGTCACGCTCCTGGACATAGCTGGATGCTGGCCGGAAGTATATCCAGGCCACGGAGCCATAAAAGAGCGTCACCACGGTGAGGTGGGAG